GCTCAGCTGCGAAGTGGCATTCCAGACTCCCTCGGACCGGACTTTCAGGTGGAAATTTGCCAAGGATGTAAGTCTGAATTCTGTGAGTTCAAACTGGCCCTAGAAGGACGGCTCAGCTCCTTGGAACGACTCTGCTTCATTGCAAGACTAGGAAAAGTCACTTCACTAGAGAACAACTCCCAGAATAAGCCACCCGGGATGGGCAATGGCCATTCCAGATGGTTGATTTTTGGAAGCTGTCATTCAGGAAAATAGATTTTCTGAGTTCTTAGATCTTTATTCCATCTTGTTTTGTTCTCCATCTATGGATCTGGTTCGTTCTTCAGCTACAAAGCTTGAACAAGCTGGACAAGGAGAGTCGTTTCATGCAAAACAAAGGGTCCAATGAGTAATCCATCGGTTTAGGTTCTGGCCACGCCTGTTGTCAGAATGCAAACAAGGAAATACCAGATTCAGGAGGAAACTGTATCCTATGATGACCCCATTGTCTTAAAACTAAGGGGATAACGTGATATATGTGTTTCTGAAAGTTGAACTACACATTAAAATCCACCTTCAATGGCTGTTTCCCAAAATGAAAAAAGCCAAAATAAAGTGTATGTACAAGCCCTCATATATATTCCAAAGCTGGTCACAAAGTTAAGAAGAGCAAATCATATTTATGCCCTGCCACGGACAATGGCCACGTTTTCTGTCAGTGTGACAAAGTGAAGCAGGGAAATTCTGTGGTTTGATGGCTATGAGGACACAGGTACTGTCCAATAGGTGCCTCTGGCATTTTTTTGCAATCTCATCCTTGGCTGCGAACTAGCTTTGGAAAGCGATTCCATTTCCCCAGGCACACTGCGATCGGAGTTCTAGGTCCCTGCAGCTTCCTGTTTGGTATGAATACTATTTTTGCTCAGGCTTGTGTGTTTGGGTGTGAGTGAGATCTGTCTCAACGCTACCCATCAGCTCGTGTACACTGACTGTCCAAAAACAGAAAGAAAAAAAATGTGAGCAATTATGTGTCCACAACTTTTCAAAGCCACAAAGGCTACAATGTATAAACACACATCGTTGTCATTAAACGTCGCTTAATTTCACTCCACCTTGTGGTGAGAATCAGAAATGACTCAAAGTGTCCTCTCCTTTAGGTCCCCCCCCCCATTCTTCCACATCAGGCAAAATCAAAAAGAATTTTTAAAAAATAAACATGTCAAAACCCTTGGTGGCGCCTTAAAGACTCATTGCTATATTTGAATGTGAGCTTTCATGGATTAAGTCTACTTCCTCCAACATAAGTGTGGGGCTACCTGGCAAATATTTTTATGTTTATATATGGGCCTATTGCCAGAACAGACTATATTTTGAGCAAAGAGACTGATTTTTTTTTTTAATTGAGCACAGGTTGTTGATCATGTGGCCTTTCACTTGTGGCAACACCTTTGAAGACATCTGTTAATATTCCTTTTATAAAATGGGATTCTAAGGAATTATATCTAAGAAGATGAAAGGGGAGGAAGGATATATGGCTGCTTGATCCAAACTGGAGGGGGGGGATTAAAACATAGTAGGAATAAGATGGCTGACTGGGTAACGGTGGGTTGGAGCAGGTAACTGGAGGAGCCAGGATAAACTGCATGTAGACCCAACACACTGCCAGGAGGAGGGACCCATAAACTGTTTCTGAGCACTTCGTATCTACAAAACCCAGGGAATGGTCACTAAAAGTTAAAATCAACTTGACAGCACATATTTGCCTCTCCCCTTCTCTGGGGATTTTTAAAAACATGGCTTTTCAGACGGGCCTTCCCAGACCTTATAACATCTTAACACAGAAGTTGTTTCAATGTTTATATTATCAGTTCTACTTTGCCTTTGTACTCTTTTAATTATTTTTAGTTAATGTTATGTTGGTTGGGTATGTGTTTGATCTTGGGTTTTTTTAGTTATTATGTTCACTGTTTTTATGATATGTGTTTGATTTCGGGGTTTTTTAGTTATTATGTTCACTGTTTTTATATCGCTGTTTATTATATCATGTCATAATGTTGTAAACTACCCAGACTAGCCTTGGCAGCCAGCTGGGTGGTAGAAAAGTCAAATAAATAAATAGATTTATGAAGTATGAGTGGCATCTCCTCTGTCCACCCCATAGCCCAGACCGTCTCTGGCACTGAGCCCCACTTCTTGGCGGATTGGCACAGCGCCTCTCATTCTGTCTTTCTACCCACAGGTGAGAACTGATGACCTTTTCCTCTTCCATGATCTGAATTTTGGGATCACTCCTTCCCTCATTATCCGGCCCACCCAAGGGTCGCATAAGGGAACTTTTGTCTGCCAGATGGCCGAAGAGGATGATGTGCTGATCCGGAAGTACTTCTACCTTAATGGTGAGGAACTGGACAACTTAGAGAGAGAACAAGCTGTTAGATGATACTGGTACCCATAAACTTGGTTTATTGGGTTAAGCTTAGGGACAGTTGGGAGAATTACAGTGATCGCAATCGTATATTTTACAAAAGGAGCCAACAGCAAAATACTGCACGATGGCATGCCAAACAAGAAGTTATGCCCATTTTTCTGCACAATCCATTTCATCCTATCACTGTCTGATCTTGAACTTTGCTTTCTGTGGAGACTGATCCGGCTTCTTCCTCGTTGGATGGGTCTATAAGGTTGTCCTCAAAAGGACCATCTGTGCTTTGACCTCCAAAGGTTTTTGGTTTCAAATTTTGCAAACCTCACCGTTTGCTGAAACCTCCCCTCTTGTTTTTCTGACTGGGTCTGTTGTGAGGTGACCTTGCTTTTTGGGTACCCAGTCTCTGGACATCAATATGACATGTATAAAATCATTAAAAAATACAATTACAATTATAACATTTGGTTTCAAATTTTGCAAACCTCAGTGTTTGCTGAAACTTCCCCTCTTGTTTTTTCTGTTTTTCTGGGTCTGTTGTGAGATGACCTTGCTTTTTGGGTACCCAGTCTCTGTGTTCCCAATTAGAAGGTGAGTCTTTTAATTTTAGCCTGCTTAAAGTATCATCTCCAACCCATGCAATGCTAGCTCCCCTCTATTTGGCACTGGTTGGGCCTCATCTTAAGGACTGTCTCCAGTTCTAGACACCATATTTAGTGTCAACAAACTAGAGCAAGTTCAGAGGAGGGAAGATGGTTGATCAGGAGACCTCGAGGACTGTCTCCAGTTCTAGACACCGCATTTAGTGTCAACAAACTAGAGAGCAAGTTCAGAGGAGGGAAGATGGTTGATCAGGAGATGGGAAACCAAGACTTATGAGGAAAGACTGAAAAAACTGGGCATATTTAGCCGTTAGAAAAGAAGACTGAGGGGAGATAGGATAGCACTTTTCAAATACTTGAAAGTTAGTCAAACAGAGGAGGGGCTGGATCTGTCCTCGACCATCCCAGAGTGCAGAGGCTGGATCTGTTCTCAATCATCCCATAATGCAGGACATGCAACCAACGGGCTCAAGCTACAAGAAGCCAGATTGAAGCTGAATATCAGGGAAAAAAATCCTTAACTGTTAGAGCAGTACAACAGTGGAACAAATTACCTCAGGAGGTAGTGAGTGCTCCAGCACTGGAGGCATTCAAGAGAAATTCAGACAACCAACTGGCAGATCAGCTTTGATTTGGATTCCTGCCCTTAGCTGTTAGAGCAGTACATCAGTGGAACAAATTACCTCAGGAGGTAGTGAGTGCTCCAGCACTGGAGGCATTCAAGAGAAATTCAGACAACCAACTGGCAGATCAGCTTTGATTTGGATTCCTGCCTAGAGCAGGAGGTTGGACCCAATGTCCTTACACCCTTCCACCTCCCTAATTCTACAGCTCAATGGATTTAATTTCTGTCCTTTCAATTTTTAAAAATTAAAGGAAACCCCATAAAATAAATAAATAAATGAATGAATGAATAAATAAGTAAGTAAGTAAGTAAGTAAGTAAGTAAGTAAGTAAGTAAGTAAGTAAGTAAGTAAATAAGTA